AAGAAAAAAAAAATGTTGCCAAGTTCCCTTGCAGTGAATTGTAAGGGTCCAGTGGTCATTCCTAAGGACACCTTTCCTAAGCGTTCCTGGAGAAGTTGAGAACTCCACCCAGTGGTGGGGGACCTTTTAGGAAGCAAGGGAAAGAATAATAGTGGGGCTTGTTCCCAAGCCAATAGACCATACATGAGATCAAAATCCCTTTGGACGAATCTTTTCTAACATGGTAGACCAATTAGTCAACAACATTATAGGGGTCCCCATTGAGTGCAAAATATGATTATGTACAAAGGAAAAGAAGACAGCATTCTAAAAGGCAACACTGTGGTTGAAAAGGCAGGCTTCATAAAGGTAAAAAAGTATAGCAATAAAATAAGTATAATGAATTGATTAACAGTAGGAAACACTAGAGTTTTGTCATGTGCAAACCACTGCTCTAAGCACTTTGCATATTAACTCATTTCATCCTCCCAGCAACTCTTATGAGATATTTCCTATTATTATACCCCTTCTCTAGATGAGGAAACTGAGACTTAGAAAGCTTAGTGAATTTGTCCACAGTTGCATGGTTAGTAAGTGTTAGAGCTGGGATTCAAATACAGATAGTCTAGCTCTAGATTAGTTCATGCTCACAACTAAGACGTAAAAGGAGACATGGGGCCAGGTGAGGACAGAACAGAGCCAAGACAAGGAGTCTCTAACTATGGCAGGTGTGAGCATACAACTGACTTAATATAGCTGTGAACCAGACGGTTCAGACCTTCACAAGTCAAGAGGACATGAAATGAATCACCACTCAATCTCGGTACCCTATCATCCTGAGCCAATTAGGCATTTTCTTTTCATAGTTTTGCTCTCCTTGCATTTCCAAAGTAACAATGTGCTCCATTCCAAAGCCCAATATTTTATATTTGAATGACACCAATTTCACAAATAGTATAAGGTTCTTCTTTTGTGTGTCCGTGCTAGGCACTAGAGTTTAAACATAAAAATAATAGGATGTTGTAGCATTGCAAAACCTATGAATTATATTAGTGTCCCCATTTGACACAAGAAAAGGTTCAAAGAAATTGGCTTTGCTCACAGTGAAATACTGACAAATCTGCAGGCAAAGTAAGTCGTTCTCTTTTGTCTCCACCCAGCTTTATATTATTTCATCTGAAGAAAATGAAAAATATAAAACTTTATGCAATTTAGTTTTGAAAAAAATGATGATGATGTGACATTCTTTAAGTTATCCATAAGAAATATTCAGGAAAGGACCACAGAGACTTAGGCTTGGGATCTGTAGGAAAAGACTTGTTCACGGTGAGAACAGGCCAATAATGTAAAGGAGCCCTTGCAAATGAGTGAAATCTGAGGCTCAGGCTCTGGGAGTTTTCAAGTTGAGGGTATTTAAAATCATCGGATGCCCTGCCCCAGCACAGAGAAAAGAAGTCCACTTCTCCCGACGAAGCAGAGAAGGCCACCTGAGGAAATCAGCAGACATCCGAGCAGACACCCAGGATGTTCTGGAAATGATTTCTGTATTGGAAAGGTGATGGTCCATAGCAACTTCCAGATCCTGTGATGATGTTAGTAATGATGCATATGATGATGATGAAGAAGGTGAAAAAGGAGGAGGAGAAGGATTAAGTACACTAAAAATTACTGTTGTTATTGTTTTAAAAATCCCATTATCAAATCTGTATAACCAAGCCGGTTTGAAATTAATCAGTCGGCCAACGAAGAATAATTATGATGACCTTGTGCAATCAGTTGT